TTAAATGAGATTTTTTGTATGTTACGTAACACGCGCTCAAAACTAATGCGTATAATATACCACATGAGATTATGCCGGACTAAAATCAAAATTGTATTTTAATAATTGTATTTAATTGGCAATTTTTAACTATTATTTTATGTTTCTGAACCGGCAGACGCATTTAAAAAGGTAGCTAACTCTATAAACTGCAGAGAATAAAGCTAAAACAAAGTAATTTTGAGAGGAACGCCAAAAAGATTTTAGGTTTTGAACACTTTTCATTGCAAATACGTGACATTGAAAAAAAATTGCCTCTTAATATTTTAAAGAATACGGAGTAAGAAATATTCGTAATGAATTGGAATCATCCATAATTTATACACTTGAATGTGCCGTATGATAACTCAACGCTCGAAGTTTCGTATCGAAAGAGGAACAGCCGAACAGGTACGATGGCTAACAAGAATGGGTGTACTTATCAACTTATCTAACGCGAGGAAAAGATCAAAATGGCAGGTTTGGCTGTGATATCTAGTATATAAAATTGTATAGACAATTTGCCCACAAATACGGTGCTAGGTCAAAACGGCCCAAAGTCAAAACGGCCCCGCTTCAATAATCATATGATTTAGACCAGGGGTTAAAGGACAATGACATGCAGGTGACATTTGACATGTGCGAGTGTGCGTCTCACCAAATTTGCGTGTTTAATAATGTTTATCAAAGAAGGCAAAACTATATACAAGACAACCCCACATGTGGAATCTGTTCACTTACGCACTGCGTTGTGATGCAGTACAAGTACAAATACAAATGACAAAGCATTTTTAAAGGCTTTAAATCCTAAAACATAATTAAATCATACGGCACATTCAAGATTTTAATATCGTATTTCAGCCGCGTTTATACTGCTTGGCGCGCATTTGCTGCGCTATATTAATTTATATACCTATGTTATATACACAGATTTATTACTAATAAATCAACACTATATATATATATATATATATGATAATATATAAGAACTCACAAAGTGCCGTCACCTTTTTATAAATAAACCTTTTTAAAAGCATGTCATTGTCATTGCAGACCAGAGGCAAAAAACAGTTAATTAAGCAATCGTGAGATTATATACATGGAAAGAATATGGAAATTATGTTAAAAGCACCCCGTATAATGACGAAAACACCGCGTATAATGCTCGAACCACTGCGTATAATGGCGAACGCACCGCGTATAATGGCGAAAGCACCACGTATAATGCTCGAACCACTGCGTATAATAGCGAAACCACCACGTATAACGCTCGAACCACTGCGTATCGACAAAATGCCGTTTGATCACTTACGCCAGGTATGGCTTTCCATAAAAGAAAACCAAAGATGAAAGATGATCACATTGCTTGTTTGCCTTATGCCTGTTTATTAGGCAAGAATAGCCTGCCGGCCCGGAAGCAGTGCATTGTGGTAGGCCGAAATACGCCGAAACGATCGAGATTTCATCTGCCTTATATGTATATACATATACATAAAGATTAGGATTGCTGCCTCGCTCGCTCGCTTCACGCTCGCTCGCTCGCTACGGCAGCAAAAACAATAATGGGCCTAATCCCGAGCCTTGTGGTATTCCGGTCTTCACGGTTAGGGGGTCTGACAGGTGACCATTCATTTGACAATATTGGATTCTGTCTGATAGATATGATTGCAACCAACAGAGTGCCATGCCTTTTATGCCATAAATTTTTAATTAGTATCAAAGGCCTTTTTTAAATCTAAAAATACAACTCCATTTAATTGTCCTACGTCCATGTTTTGGTACCATCTATTAGTAATATCTAATAGAGCTGTGGTTGTTGAATGACATGGTCTAAAGCCGTGTTGGGAATTTGTTAGTAGGTTTGAAGCTATAAGATAGTCATATAATTGATTATGTATCAGTTTCTCCATGATCTTCGCTATAATTGAAATAACAGATATCGGTCTGTAATTTTCCATATCGTGCTTAGCTCCTGTTTTGTGTATTGGAGCTACCCTAGCGACTTTCCAATCAGATGGGAATATACCAGTTGCGATTGATTGATTAAAAATTGATACAATGGATGGAGTAATTGCTGGAGCTGCGATTTTCAAAATTTTGGCTGAAATTCCATCGATGCCGGATGCTTTAGAGGCAATCAATCCCTGAAGTAAACCTAATATTTCTGGTTCTGTAATTTCTCTAAAACAGGTTAACTGATTTACTGAATTTTGAACGTCGCTAAGATAACTTTCAGGAGTTACATTTGATTGAGGTATATCATTCGAAAGTTTATCTCCCATTTCAACAAAATGCTTATTAAATGCATTTGAGATGTTTATCGGATCAGTAATTTCAACAGAATCAATTCTTACTTCTAGAACTGTATTCTCTTTTTTAGACTTATTAATTAACTCATTAATCGTTTTCCAGGTTTTTTTAAGATCACCTTGGTTATTGTGTAATTTATTTTGAAAATGACTGCGGATTGTATCTTTCACAAGTTTATTATAACAATTTCTTGCATGGCGGTAGTCGGACCAGTCAGTCATAGACTTTGATAACACTGCTTTGCGTTTTAAATAGGTCTTCTCCCGCTTTTTTAAAATAAGATCATTCGTCAACCATGGTATTTGTTTACTGGATAGTTTGCGTCTTTTAAGCGGGGCATGTATATTTACAATCTCTAGGAATTTGTTTTTCCAAATCGTCCAAGATTTATTAGGATCAGAATGGATGAGATTCAAATTTGATAACGATGTTAGATTACACATAAAGTCTTGTTCATTGAAGTGTTTAAAATCCCGGTATTCAATAAACCGTGGAGACTGTTTAAAAGTTTTAAATTTACGAATGTCGTAGATCAAATAGTGATCACTGATAGTGATAGCTGTCACACCACTAGGAATAATGTGGTTGGTGTTTGTTGTATAAAAATGATCTACAGGGTGTATCAAAAAAAACGCAACCTCGGAATTTCCTAAGAAATCACTTTGTAATTCTTAAGCATAAAAGATTTTAGGCCCCTGGGAATTGAAATCGAATTGCTAATAGATCATATTACTGTTGTTGTGCATTAAATAAATGCATAAATTTTGCTTTATGCACTCGCGTGTGCAGTAATTTTGACAGTTGTGCTATTTTAAATTCCCAGGCACCTAAAATCTTTTGTCTTTAAAACAATGCTGATTTCTTGGGAAATTCCGAGGTTGCGGTTTTTTTGATACACCCTGTAGATTTGTAATAAATTTCAATTCTGATACTAGTGACGTGGGATTGTTGTCTAGGAGATCACAATTAATATCCCCTAAGATAATACTTTCTTTGTCTTCGTTATCAATTAATTTTAAACAAC